AGTACAGTAGTATATAGCATGGGGGAGTCGACACACACCCTTTCTTGTGCTTTCAAGATACACAGAGAGAGCGGACCCGGTCGAGGTAAGCAGTGCTAATTTGCATATTGGCTTGTTCACTTGCTTTTCACTCCATAACTTTTCAACGTATTAGTTGTACGAATATCACAATAAAGCCAGTCGCTGTTTTGTTGTCTCGTTGCGCATAGTCGCAGAAAACGTGGTATCAGACATGTGGACAGACGGACAGACAGACAGACACACTTACAAACCAAGTACCGTAACCCTCGCTGTGCATGCGCGCCGAGAGTTAAAAAGAACTCGTGGTACTGCATGCCACACGCATACAAGCTGACAGAATTATTCCTACCCTAACAACGAGATTACCTGTACGCCTGTGTTATGATATGTATTGCAGGCCAACACCTGGTGTCCTGTTCACTAGCCTGTTTTACCATAGGTTTGTTCTCGCTGTCGATAGCCAGCGTACTACAGCGCTGGAAGATGCCGCGGTTAGTACATGTGCTTCACACAACAGAGAGCAGTCAAATACAACTGACTACATGCCAAGATTTGCGCACAAGCATTTGTTGGAGCACTTTAAATTCTGTGTAGTTACCAGACTGTAGATGGGGCGGCAGGAACTAGACCGGACTATACAATGACCCTCCTGCACTAGCGGAGAGATTAGGTGTGGGAGAAATGTTTTTGGCAACACCTGCTTACCCTACAGAGGGCTGCAAAAAAACTCAAGTTTTGTTTACATCTATGTATGGACTTCCCAAGCTTCACAAACCAATGTGACAGATTGATAATACGTGACTACATCGCCTCCATCCTCTGCGCGAGCAGCAATGTTCCATTAATTAAGGCCAGTAGTTAGTGGGATTGTTTTAATAAACCAGAAGTGACCTTAGACTTTCCCTAGGGACTTTTTGTCCCTCTTCCATAAAATAGGGGGAAAAGCTAGGGCAGAGGCTAGACTTGCTGTTCAGTGGGTGTAAACTGTAAACATCCACGCACAAGGCAAGAGCAATAATTCGTGACAACACTTTTAGCTAGGTTAGACTCAACACACTACATTAGATTCTTCAAAGAAGTACTCTTCCCACAGAGCTACCAGTGTAGCTAGCAGCAGGCACCAGTACTAATAGGCGTGTACGTACGTAGGATAGTGATACCTGGAGAGGGTGTGGCAGCCGCTCGTCCAACTGCGTGTGTCGCGCCTTCTACCTCCTCTTTTTCCTTCTCCGAAGAGGGCTTATCGTCTATACGCCTCTCTCTCCATCCTGGGAGCTCTGAAGGGGGCTTGCGCCGCAAACGGCTTTGCTTGGTTCCCATTTTGACACTCCGGGATAACAAAGGGGCGTAAACGCAAACAAGCTACGCCTTCTTTGCATCTACTGCGCATGCGTAAGAATGCCGACGTGCTGTTGGACGGCCCTTTTGCTACTGGGCAATACACTTGATCTGGTTGACTAGCCCAGGTGTCAACATTTCTGATTAGCTGTTATCCCAGTTCAATCAATTTCACCCGACCACTTTATAACATCAGTTTTGTTCCACTCGGTAATCCTCCTAAACACAAGTCCAGAAAGCTGACTATGACAGTATCTGATCTTTTATTGTGGATGTTGATTATTCTGTCTGTTTTTGCAGTACCAATAGTTCATCTGGTTAGCTAATAATTAAGTCTGTTGGATATGCCATAATAATGTGTATATCCCAAGACTCGTCTGCGTTCTCGACAAGACCCTCAGTGGTTTGGTACCTCTATTCGTCACCAGATCAACTGTCTTAATACCTTCCGCAGGAAGTCCAAGTCTCACCTCTCCTCTCAGGTCATCAAAGATTGAATTATTAGAACAACAGTCGCAGCAACATTATTATATCGTCTGAATTTGAATCCCAGTTCCTTTCAAACTGATGTTATATACTTGGATTTCATAAAAGTGTTTTATTCTATTGCGACAATGAGCTCTATTCAAGTTATGGCACATTGGTATAACTGGTAGCTAATGCTTGGAAGTGGTTGCTTGCATGCCTAACTAATGTATCTCTATCAACTCTAAAACATCAACCGCTCTCCCTGTGATCTCTGGTGTTCCACAAGGCAGCTTCCTTGGCCCTCTATATACTGTTTCTTATCCACATTAATGATATTCTGAGTTCCTGATGTTTGCCGATTACTTGGCTTACTTAGAAGAGTATTCTCGTCTGTTTACTGCCCCTGAGCTAAGAAAGTTCTGTATGTATCCCTCATTCAATCAAAACTACTGTACTGCTTACCCATCTTCACTTTCTGACTGAAAGCACTGGAAAATTTATATAAAGAGACTGGCCACCAAATTTTTCATTCACAACTATGATTCTAACTATCGCCTTCGATTGCTTGACCTTCAACTGCTGCCACTAATGATGGTCCTCGAAATTATAATTGTTCATTAAGTCCTTGAAGCCATCTGATCATTTCGACATTTCCTTATTTGTTACGTTTTGTTCCTCCAGCCTCCTATTTTTTAATTGCAGCTGTTAACTCTATTCCAAACTTCTACTTTAATCGCCTTCCTCTCCTTTGGAACTCCCTCCCACTTCTTGACATGAGTCAACCAATAACTCTACAAACAATTTTTGAACCATTTCACTACGGACTTTTATCCCGACAATGTGTGCTCTTTCCACTGCCTCTGTCCTTGTGCTAAATGCAGCTCACTCCCAGTCTCCTCCAATTTTGACTCTTCTTTTCTCTAAATAATTAACTATTAATTATTTTGTTTTAGGCTGCTGGTGTATTATCATCATCAGACCTTCAGCATTGTTCCACATTTCATTTCCCCATTCTGCTACTGTTACCTCACGAAGTGCTTTAAAGTCATAATAATAATATAACAACAACAACAACAACAATAATAATATTATGCAGTTTGCAGCAGGGAATGTTCTATGCTGCTGTGCTGCAGTTGCCCAATTTAGTTAACAGGTAGTAATCACTCCTGGATATAGCCAGCATTGGGTTTTGGCTGCTAGTGATGTGTGCACATAATAATTATGCAGGAAACATCTATATATGCTACAAAAAAGAGACTGGAATTGATTCTTTGCAATAATAGCTACATATCCCCCCCCCTACTCCAAATCTTTGCTGATACCCTTGATGACAATGAATGATGTAAGCAGACAATCACCTGATGCAATCTGCAGCATGAAGCAGTTAGGCACTGCACTATAGCTTCTTCCAGTTAAACTATGAACCATGGTGTGACTGAAATTCACCAACGAATCAAAGAGTGTAATTCCTGCAACTGTGGTAGAGCTTAAACTGCTGAAAGGTCCATCAAGAAATAAAATCAGTGGGGCTTTCTGTCTTAAATCATAAGTAGAAGGTTTGAAGATGGGATAAGCTGTCACCCAATAAGAAAGTTGTGAAGTTCTATATAAGAGTAGCTATAGAGCAAGTGATGCTAGGTTTAGATTGATGATCAAATTCAAGTCTAAAGAGGAGCTGGGTAGGCATATAGAGGGAGGGGACATATTAACCATTAGCAAGGCAAGGCAATATAAAAAGCCTCACTATTCAAGAATATGGGGCTATAATGTTATTCATAGATTTCTGCTTATCTAAGGAGGTAGCTACCCACAGATTCCAAAGGGTTAAATACGAAGCTCCAGTGGTGTGATGATAATGAAATTTACAACAGTTTTTTGGGAGTGTTTTACGTAATTATTAAGGAGCAATTTTCTAATGGACCTGCAGGGGAAGCTTGAGGATGGGTTCGAGCATTTGCAGTCGCTTATTGGTTTCATCTCCAATAATCCTTTGCACTTGGGTAGTGGCAGTGAGTTGTGGGAGTATAAACTTTGGTTCTCTGCTTGAGCACTATAATAAACATTTGGGAGCTATATAGGAAAGGTTAGGTTTTCTCCCAGTGTTCAACAGTCCGAGTCTCAGATTGTGTCTGGGGAATTGCAGCATGTTGCTGGTGGAAGGGGTGAGTTAGATTGGACGTAACACAGGCAACACAGACATCAGTGTGTGTTCATGTTCTATTAACAAGGTCGATGTCCGGAGTGCAATGGCTACTACCTGAGTATTGTTTTATTACTAGTTGCCTCTCATGCTATTACCTATTACCCAATGTATGGAGGCTATTGGTATCTTGCTCGTTGGCCACCTAGCTTGTAGGCTGTAGTGCTGGCATAGCAGGCAGGCAGATAGACATTAGACACAGACACACACACTCAGTATCAGATTAAGCGTAGATCTTGCGGTGCCATGTAACCCCCTTTCAGTGTTACAAAACTAGCGATGTTTCGGTACCTCCATACATGTCTGCACAGGAGGATTTCTAAGTTTCCAATCCACAGCATTGTATATAGAAGAAGAGATCACGAAATGTCTGAGGTTTTTGCATTTTTTGCTTGTCAGTTTTGCTACTACGCAAAGCATGGGTTTACCTGAAAGTTGATACCGCAATAATTCCTGGTGTACTTGGAACCACCTCTTCTAGAATGCTAGTACTTTGTCACTGACATTGTAACTATTGTTGCACACTGTATCTTGTCTTAACATTGTGTTAATCTGTGATGGTGCAGCAAACCTCATACAATTATACCGTGACCATCGTGACATAGAAGAGAGCAGTTGTAACTATTAAAATGACATAAATAATTATACAAAAGTTTATGCTAAACAGCTGTAAAAATGAAGTGATAGATGAGAATAAGCAATATAGAAATGAACTGAGCCGCAGTGTGAAGTAGAGTAGTTTACTATTAATGCTACAAAAGTTTGAAAATTGGTGATCTCTGGTGTACGTAGTATAGAACTAAGCTACAGTGTTATGTAGCTAGCTAGAGATTAGTTTAAACTTTGTACTGTTGTAGAAGTTTGACTATTTGCTGATGTCTTGCGACACTCATGGCTGTACGTCCATCCTGAGAGGTGAGGGAAAATTACACTCATTGACTAAATGAGAGATTATTGCAGCACTAAACTGTATGTATATACAGGAATGCTCATATAATATGTGTGAGAAGCAGACTATCCTGCTACATTACATGTACTGCCAATTGATAGGTCTGGCCATGCTGTGTAGGCATACAGCAAAGCCACACACAACTATATACATGACAACATCCTACCTCCTAAAAGTACATAACAACACATTCAAACAAAGATGTGCCCATTAACTAAAAGCCGTTTTTCCTTATACCTTATAAGGTAGATCTTTAGCTCCAGACATCAGCAGAAGTCTAACTACCTCCAGGTGTCCATTTTGACTGGCTATCAAGAGTGCAGTTGCTCCATCCTAGAAAGAGGAAGACATTATTGTTAGTAATGCAGTGGAACCTCCGAGATAGGGACACTTAGGGTCAACCGCTTTTGTCCCTTGTAGAGAGGTCGTCCCCATCTCGGAGGTTTGTCTTATAAAAACATGTTGGGGTGATTTAAAACAATTTTCTTGATTATGCACGACGACGACTGATGTATAGCATTAGCTACACTGCGCAAGGCATGCACATAAAAAAGTGCAGATAGCGGCGATGGGTGCGGTTTCCCAGTCTTCGCAATTGCCTTTCGCTGTGCTCGCCGGGCAAAGACTAGTGTAAACCCACACTGCCGATGTTCTTTAGCGTGTGGCTCGCTCTTCAAATGGAGTGCGAGTTCTGTGGGAGTGGCTTCTCTGTCCGCTCACAGAGGTAAAATGTATGGGCTGAGTCAGTCCGGGGCGCGGTTGGTGTCCGTTGTCCGGATCTCGGCCAGAGGCAAAACGCGTCGGCTTCTCGGAGATTTCCAATGTATCAGCTCTAAGGTAGTTTTGATCCGTTCTTAGTGTTTGTCCGCTTCTCGGAGGGTCCGTTATGAGAGGTTCCACTGTAAGAGGACATTCATCTCCATAATACACCATAAAAATACTGCTCGTGGTAACAGATGGCTCTGTTGGTTTCTCATAGCTACCTCATAGGTATATTGAGTACAGTAACTCTTGCTGCGTATACGTGCAGAGGGAGACATGTTAGGTACAGCTAGTACAAGAGGTGCAGCCTCGGTCAGGCATCGAAGAGCGCAGCTAGATGTGCTCATGGTGACAGGTGGAACAGTGAGTTGGTGTAGCGAGACCAGTTCTGGCTCTCTGACTGACTTACCAAGGCAAGGAAACACTTCAGGGTATTGAGAGGTTTACAGTGACATTCAGTCAAAACATTGCTTAACAGTCCACCCATTCTGTCTATTGTCTCTCAAAGAGTCTGCATCTGTAACACCTGAACTCACTATAAAGAAAAGAAAATGTCTGGAGACACTCAAACGTCTATGTAACTGGTTGCCTTGTTGTACCTTGGCTCTCCCTCAGCTTAAAGAATAAAACTTGCATGTGACTTTATAAGGGTCAGAGGTTACTCACGGAAAGGGAGACCACAGAGGTTAGTCTGTCTACCTGGCTCAAGTTCTCATACCTTGTCCTGGTAGTTGATGACAGATCAGTTTCTCCACAATCTCTATGTGACCATCTCCAGCAGCTATCCCCAGAGGAGATGTGAGAGAACCAACCTTCACAAAGAAAAATTCAGTCCAACAGGAATGAATGTGAGTAAACTAGTTAACTAACTTGAACAAATGCAATGAATTTTTGGTGAGGGAATGCGAGAATTACTGGCACATGTAGCAACCATTGCCACATTTCAGTTACGTGCATTAGTGAATAGTAAGGATTACGATAAAGATGGTCTTACGTTACGTACAAATTCATTGCATTTGTTCAAGTTAGTTAACTAGTTTACTCACATTCATTCCTGTTGGACTGAATTTTTCTTTGTACATGTACAAAGTCCCTGCAGTCAACAAGCCTTGGTCTATGTCAATGTGTTTTGTTTGTATAAAGGTTTTGGAGCCCTTCAGAAGCTCTCCCCTCCCTCCCTCAGGTTTTCTTCTTTCTCCATGGCCAAAGTATACATGTAGAAGATGCTAGTGCCTGTTTCTCTAGTTTGTTCTGAAGGAGGAACTGCAATTAACAGTATTGCGTAACAAATAAGCTGCAAGCATTGATAATTCCACAAAATGCATGCAATGTGATCTACGTAGCAGTTTTCCTAGGAAACTTCTGTACAGAAAGGGGGCGGGGTATCAGAGGTTTTGGTACCATGGCAAATACAGACACATCACACACTTCACTTACACATTCTCTTCTCTACGTACGTGCTGTACTGACGTCCAAACTGAATAGACAAAAACTGCTGGGAGCAGAGTGCCTCCGGTCATCGATTTTCGGAGAGACGTCAGGTAGCCGTCAGGTAGCCGTCGTACTACCGCGCGCTGTGTGGCTACACGGCCTTTTTGCGTTCATGATACCTCACTTACGCCAAGATCTGCCATGACAAGTTCGGCCTGAAGTCTACTCAGCCCGGTAGGGCCGATAGAAGCGTTCGTCTGCTGTCAAACTGCACGCTCACATCTCTCTGGTTGGCTAAAAATTTCCCGGGAAAAATCCCGTAACGTGACGTCATATTCGTGCGCGGACAAGAATACTGAAAAATTTCATTCGCGTTTCCGCGTGGCCCGTGTTTGAAAAATCGTAACTTTTAAAGGTTTTCCCAAAAATATATACCAAAAAAAGCGTTGTATCAAGCACATTTCAAGCTTTACAACGATACAAAAAAAGCTACTTCAAAAAATTGAGGCGTAAGGTTGGTTTTTTGCGTGCATGGTCACACTATCCACGCTGACATCCAAAATCAGCAACAACACAGTATGCTAAACATTAATTAAAAAGGAGAAAATATACAATTCAGTAAGTCTGGTATGCAGTATAGTAAAGCTACAGTGTTAAGTAGAGTGTTCTTTCGTGAAATTTTTGACCTATACGTAGTATAGAACTATGAGCATATACCTGTGTGGCAAGCGCATCTAGCATGCAAATCTCTGATATCATGGTATGTAGCAACGAAACATAGAGTACAGTTTGCATACCAACTACGCTGACATACAAAAATCAGTAAACAAACAGTATGCTAAAGGTAAAAAGGGGAATAGACAATTAAGTAAGTCTGGTATGTAGTATAAAAAGAGATAAGTAGCTACAGTATTATGTAGAGTGTTCTTTCAAATTTTGTATATTATACTCCTGTAAAAGACATATGCTAAAGCTATGTAGTATAGAACTAGCTACAGTGTTAGAAGAAGTAGAGTCGAGAGACGTAGAGTATTTTAACCTTTGTACTGCTGTAAAGTTTGACTATTGCTGATGACCTTTGGTTCTTGCAACACTCATGGCTGTACGTCCATCCTGAGAGGTGAGGGAAATTACACTCATTGACTATATAAGAGACAGTCACACATTATTGACGGCACTAAACAAACCCTCGATGCACAAATGGGTGCTGACGTCAGCAGGTCTAGCCTGCAGTAGGTGCACACAGCACTGCTAATTGATGGGTGTGGCCATGCTGGGTAGGCACACAGCAGAGTCACACACAACCACAAGACAATCCCTCTAATATTATGTTTAGCACTCAAACAAAGATTGTGATAATGAAAGTAAGCTTTTTTACCTTATAAGGTAGATCTTTAGCTCCAGATACCAGCAGAAGTCTAACTACCTCCAGGTGTCCATTCAGGGCGGCAGCAAAGAGTGCAGTTGCTCCATTCTAAAAGATTAAAAGAGAAACATATCTGTATACAAACAGTCAGGAAAGTATCCTACTGGTAGAGCTGATTCCTCATCTCTCTCTTTCACACTACGCACTCTTCACCATTCTTTCACTCTACCAGGAATGAGATCGGGAGCGAGATGCACGGATTAATTAATCTGAGGTAACCCGGTGAAGAAAGCTATCCATGCCAGCGCTTACGTGCTGACATTACTTCATTTCTACCTTTCTTCCTCCCTTTCACACTATGCACTCCTCACTATTCTTTCAGTATATATACAAGGCGTGAGATCAGGAGCGAGATGAGCAGATTAAAAACCAACATAAGGTACGTATATGCAACCCGGTGAAGAAAGCTATCCCGTGCCAGCACTTATGCGCTTACATTACTCTTTCAGGCACATGATGGGGACACTCAGATCTGCTCATGGTGACAGGTGGAGCAGTGAGTTGGTGTAGCAAGACCAGTTCTGGCTCTCTGACTGATTGACCAAGGCAAGGAATTGACTTCAGCTGAGCCCCAAAAATTGTCATACTTACATCCAATTGTAAAAGCGTTATCATCATTGGAGTCCTCGCAATATTTCTGTTCTAATGATATGCCTGACTGCGTTTTAAAACCTATCAGTCAAAAGTTAGCTATATGTCCCACAAGAAAAGTATGCCTAAATAAAGGATGTGGTACCTGTATCAACATAAAAACACTTGCTGGGCTCAGGTGAACGCAAATAGACTATGCTAGGTGGGGAAGGATTTATATTAGTCATTAACCCTCGGCGCACATGCGCAGCGAGGGTTAATGACTAATAGGTTCGTGAGTGTATCCGTCTGTCTGTCTGTCTGTTACCCATGAAATCCGCCAAAGCGCGATAGTAACGGGGACAGTATATACTACACCGGCTTGAGTTTACAAAGACGATTTTCATTAATTAAAAAAATACTGTTCCAAAGTTATGGCATGAAAAGCATGTGAACAAGCCATTATGCAAATTAGCACAGGCTTACCTCGACTGGGTCCGCTTGCTCTGTGTACCTTAGAGGCACAAGAAGTGACAATGGCATCGACTCCCGCATGCTACCTACTACTGTAGCTAGCCCGTGTCAAAGTCTCTGCGAGCTACTCTGGCGGGAGACCACTAGCAAACACGCAATTAGCGGTATCATGCATGTGTAGTTCGCCGAGGATTTGCACTTAAGTGCTTATATTTTTCATAGGAATAGTGTAAGGACAATAGATATCCTCTTATTAACCAATCAGATTTCAGAACTCACTATAAAAAGAGAATGTCTATAGAGTAACACAAATATGCACGTAATGTTGCCTTGCACACCACCTACACGCAAAACAATGAGTGACCTTTGACCCCCAGTTTGAGGTTAAATTTTTGGAATGCAGAAGAGAGAATAGAGGTGAGGCTCCCTAACTACCTGCAGTTCTCATACCTTGTTCTGGTAGTTGATGACAGCTCCAGCTGATATCAGTTTCTCCACAATCTCTGTGTGACCTTTTCAGCAGCTATCCCCAGAGGAGATGAGGAGGATCAACCTTCACAAAGAAAAATTCAGTTAAACAGGAATCATTGTTAGTAAATCAGTCACTCACAAAGAGTACTGTCAAATGGCTTTTGGATATAATAATTACATAAGGTTAGAAAGCTACGTTTGCCACTGTTCACACTCGACATAGTCGACTTAAAGAACATTATTTAGCAAGCTAACGTTAGAGTTACTGGCACACACAGAAACCTTGTAAAATTTCAGTTCGGTGCATGTGTGAATTATTGCATGAGTTTAGAATAACGTTGGACATCACAATAGGGTGGCAACATTGCAGTCTACATCACATAGAGAAGTGCAGGCAATTCAGGTAACTAGGTAGAATCACTTTGCTTACCAATTAGATACAGTAGGAATAACTATTAATGTTAAGATGCTTCTAGTAAACCAGTCAACTGACTATGACTAGTCAAATACAGTGAAGGACATTAATCATTGAGGAGGGGAAAAACAGAGACTAATGTATTGCTCATTGCAGCAACAGACGTACATATGTAGGTACAAGGAAATTGGTGTTACGTGTCAGTTACTCGGTAAGCATGTATTCCCTATAGAGTGAACCATAGGCTACTTCAGAGTAGGCATGAAATGTATACTAAATCATTCGAGCAGTAAATACGTACACATTCATTGACATATCCATCCACAAGTCTATTTATGCGATCAACCATACCAGCCATCAACTACTCCCCATTCTCACAGAAGCTAGCAATAATATCAGTTGGGTCATGCACAAATGGAATTTCTTTCCGTCCATTTCAACGTTATGCTTACAAAAGTCGCCATGGCATCTTCGCTAAGCCCCAGAACAAGCATCAGATTGGAAAAAGAGAGAGTTTATCATGTTAGTTAGGTTCTATGTATAAAAATGTTGTCAGCTGTAATATCTGCCAAAAAGGTTTCCTCGCGGCAGATACATCAGCCATCTAGGTAGTACAGTACTAATCCAGTGTGTAATGCAACTCTTTTGCAGTGAATGTTCATAAGGTAACTATAATTCTTCATTCCGAGTTGATGTCTGTGGCATAACAGACAGTAAGTGTATTTTGTTGTCGTTTTTTCAGCACGTGTACTAGGATCCCTTCCATGGTCCTAGGACTGCCAATGGCCTGACAATGTGGTGACTAGATCACTGGGCATAATGCAGTGTTGCAGCCGGACATGAAACTGTGCAGTTTGTGTTCACAACTGTTAGACTCCTACACTACCATATATGCCCTGTCCAGTGTTCTCTTTGCACAATGCAGTGATCACATGCTGCCTTGAAGGGCTCTGTAAGTTACGTATGAATACATAAAACCCTCGTTCCTCGACTCACTCTACAAAAGCGAAGATACTTTGATATGTGATCGCATATAAACAACAATACTCAGGTGGCTGCCATAGCACTAGGGCCATAGACCACGCACCCAGAGCAATGGGCGGAACTGTTAACAAACGAACATACACCATATGAACATGAGGTGTCTGTCTCACCTCCCAGACACCTCAACTCACCCCTTCCACCAGCGACACCCTGCAACTCCCCAGACGCAATCTGAGACTGGGTCTGTGTGTGGGATACGCCGTATAACCTAACCTTTCTTAGCTCCCAAACATCCAAAATAAAACCTTTAACAAGGCCAAGCAAAGAACCAAATTTATCCTCCCACAGCTCACTACCCAATATAAAGGATGCTTTCCTGAAACTATCAAGCGACTGGAAATGCTCAAACCCATCATCCCCAAGTTCCCCTGCAGGGCAACTAAGAAATTGCTCCTAAGACTACTATATGCTGAACATTCCCACAACACATGACTCACACTTTCACACTCATCATCACACAACAGGCACTCCTTCATCCCCTCCCTCCCCTCTATTAAAAAGGTCTCTTGACAATGCCCCACACACAACCTCAATTCCCTTTGCAAGGGAGAGGGTGTGTTGCTGTCAACGGAGTCTAGGTCACTTACAATCATACTATCCTCAATATCCTGGCTCCCCACATTGTGGGGTAACATAGAGAAGGAGATGCATACACACACTCCAGACCTTTCATGTAATATCTGATGCCTCAAGGTATATCATATGACACGGCAGAGTCTGGCTCTCTCTTTCTTTGAAACAAGAAAGAGCAGAAAGGAAAGAGAAGGTGAAGAGAACCCCCTCTCCCCTCGTTCTCTCTCTTTCTCTCTCTACTCGCCTGTCGAGGTAATTAGCATAATTATGAATTCGATTTGTTTAACTTACTTGACTTGTGTGCAATAACATTTAAACCTATTTTAGGTATCGGTGGCTCAACGACGTAGATATGTTTTAAAAGCAGATAGCCACCAGTAGCACTAATTTGGTTGTTTCACTTTCAGTGTTGCACTCCAGACATAGTACAATAACCCTCATTGTCCATGTGCATGAAGGGTTAATTAATGCCTCTAACTACTGTTGTTACAATGCTGCGTTCTTAGCCTACAGAATCCCTTTACCATGTCCTCCACTTTACACCATTTACTAATGTCAGTGAGTAAAGGTGGCGACATAAGTGGAGCATGCGTCACTCGTGGCCCCCGTGTTGCACATTGTGGGGTAACAGAGAGAAGGAGATGCATACACACACTCCAGACATAGTACAATAACCCTCATTGTCCATGTGCACGAAAGGGTTAATTAACTCACTGTCTGTCAGATTAGCATTTGCTCCATCTTCAACAGAACATCAACTGTCTGCTTGTGTCCATTCTGACAGGCCATATAGAGTGGAGTACAACCATCCTGAGTATAGGAGAAAGTGTGACAGAGAGATATACAGGAGAAAGTCAAATGTGACATAATTGTGCAAAGATTTATCAAGAGAGAGCAGTCATACAAACCCTCATACAAGAGAAATACAAGCATGTTCATAACAGGACATACTATTGTTTGGTTGTCCTGATTGTAACAGATTATGGTGGCCTTTTTGTAGAGATCACATGCCTCTTTCTGTTACCATGTAAGTGCTGTACCTAACACCACATATTGACACATATTGGAAGTCATGGAAGGAAATCTGTATGAATAGGTTCTTTAGGGTCCAACCAGATGGGTATAACATTGCCAAGACAAGCTATGGCATCACTAAAAAGTGAAAACCAGTGTGTACATAGGAATGCCAAAAATGATCTCGGTCAATGAGGCACACACACACCACAGTCAACTACCCATCTCTTATCAGCACACCATTATCACTTCACAGGCCCACATTAAAACATTACTCTATCTTCATGCTGTATCAGTCTGGTAAAAAAAATCACTGAAGAACATGGAACACAACTGTTAAATTTCTATTCAATTTCGTCTACATAAAACATTACAGTATGTGAGACAGTGACCTTCTCATCGTTGTTGGATACATACATTCATGAGAATTTAGACGACTAAGTACAGGTTCTGTGTTGCTGGGCCCCCCCCCCTCACACAACAACTCCCGCCCCCCAAAAAAAAAAAAATAAATATCCCCCAGAACGACACCACGCAGCAACCACCACGACGCCCAAAACCCGGCAACACTCCCTCCCCAAATAAATAAGAAAAAAAAACCCCCACCCAAACCCCAGCACAAAAAAAACTGAAAAAAAAATAAAAAAAAAAAGAAAAAAACAACCAAAACCAAAAAAAGAAAATAAAAAAAAAAAAAAACAAAAAAAAAAAAAAAAAAACATTAAAAAAATAAAAAAATACTCCGCCACAAGGAGTTCATCACAGAAATAAACCTTATGTACACATTTGTTGACTGCAAATGCTTTGCTCTCTAGTATGCAACCCGTCGCGGCCCCCCTCGCGCCACTCCTGACCCATCAACAGAACCACCCAGAGAGTCCCACAACCCGTCACACAAACCCCTCCCCCTCATACAAGAGAAAATACATAGCACAATAACATAACAATACCAGAGATGTACATACAGGACAAAAATGTTTGGTTGTCCCTCCATTTTGTCATGTTCTAACAGATATGGCACTCGTCTCGCATTTGGCCATGCAGTCCCGTACAACCGTCCGTAGCACCACAACACTCCACACATATGGACTAATCATGCTGGACCCCATTCTCAATCGTGGCCTGGATACATACACTTCAAGCGCATGAATTTAGACGACTAAGTACAGGTGTGCTTGGCTCACCAACAACTGCACAGAGTTCATCACAGAAATAGCCACTAAATAAACCTATGTACACATTTTGTTGATTTGACTTGCTTTGCACTTGCTTTGCTCTCACATGCAGTCAGAGGTATGCCATAGAAATGTATGGAGAGAGTCTGTTCAGGGGTTTGCAGACTTCTAGGACTACAGTGCTGCATATGACTGGATGCGGAATGGAGCTAGCAATGCAATGGTGCTTGAAAATGGTGAATATAGGGGGAAAAACAAGGAGACAAGACAGAGTGTATGTGATGCAGTAGTGATGGTTGATGGCTACATATTTAAAACTGAAAATGCTCGCTCATGTACATTTTCCTCCACACAAACCCTAGCTATATTGTCGCCACTTTTACTCACAACATGAATTTTCAAAGTGTGCGGACAATGGTGAATGGAGAGCCAAGAATGCAGCATTGTTACTTGAGTGAACATGTAAGTCTCAGACTGCACAGAATGTAGTCACAACCAAAACTGAGGAGCTGTCAGAGAGGGCAACACCTGTGCATTACTTACTTGCTTAGGAAATATGAGGAGCACACTCATGCTTCTCAACAATATATTAACCCGATTACTTATATCACAAAATTATAATTCAGTTATTGACCTCCAACTTTACTGCAGGTTTGCAAAAGGCTACAGTCACCATGTTCCGCATTGTGCATACCCCTTGTGTACAGTGTCTCATAACAGCAAGACTCTCCAGGTATGTGTATCTTTAAGATGTATGTGTGTGAGGCACATCACAGCAAAGAAATTCGAGGACAAGTGCCAATTCCCTAAGTATAGGTTAGATCACTGGAACGAGTCACTACGAGGTTTGAATAACCCGAGGGGGAGGGGTGAGAATGACGCAATAGTGACCGAGGCGGAGCCGAGGTCACTATTGCGTCATTCTCATCCCGACCCGCGAGGGTTTTCAAACCGAGGAGACGAGTTCAGTGGTCTAACTGGCTTAGAATCGCGGCACGGAGAGTGCAGTTTCGCTTAGTCTTTTCGATAGTGTGCAAGACCCGTTACCCAGTTTGCTCTGCCTTCCAGAATTTAGGCTCGTTGGCCCATTTGCTCATAGCTTCGAGACTGCAGGACGCGTTCATCGTACTAGCATCGCAGCAACTGGACGGATATATCCTGCGAGCCCCGCCGGAGCAAGACACTGCCACTGGAGCGCTCAGCCCGCGTCGCTTGATCTGGACGCGATTTGTTGTTTGTCGCTAGTCAGACGTTGAAATCAGCTACATGGCTCTCCGTGAAACGCCTGACTAGCGACCAACAACAAATCGTCCAAGCGACGCGGCTGAGCGCTGCGATGCTTGTATGATGGCGGCAGCCTCGAAGCTAGGAGCAAATAGGCTTTCCCACTCCTTGATTATTATGAATTTGACCTTTGTGAAACCTCAGTGATCTAAATTCTTCACAGTGATCTAACTTGCAACTTAGAGACTTAGTACTTAGATACCTGGCAGACCCACTACTACGGGTTTTAGACACTTGATTACTACACTCAACATCAAAGGGAATTATTCATGAGAGGTTCTAACAGTAGTAAAGGCGGAACAGAATATACAGTTAAGTACAAAAGTGAAAATATATATAGTGATACCCTTATTAGCCATATTCAGTGGATTCATGCAGTCACCATGTGGACATAAGCTCTCATTGTGGTCCATACACCAGTCATGATTCAACTGGAAGAGACTTAGCTCCTCCACACACAATATATTACGCAATTTTAATGAGGACATTTTTCATGCACTGCACTGATGTAATGTGAATGACGGCAAAACATCTGAGGCGATAGCTAAAGGCCACTATTGTTACTTTTTTTTAATGGGCTTATGCCCAAAAATACCCGATTTTTATTGCACACCATGCATGTGAATGCAGTAAAAAAAAGGAAAGGAGATAAGTAAATAAAACAATTCTTCAAACTGAAAAAGTGTGGAATAAAGAGATGGCATAAAAAGCAAGGAGGCAAGACAGTAAAGACCTAGCGAACATGATCCAGTAGTACAATGGATGATGGCTACATACTTTGAACTGACATCGCTTGCTCGTGTAAAATTTCCTCCACACGAGCCCTATATTGTCGCCACCTTTACTGTGAAATGCGAGGACAAGTGAAGTGCGAAGACAATGGTGAAAGGATTCTGTATGTAGAACACAGCATCGTAAAACTGGTTAGTTGAGCAAATGTAGAAGTCTTAGACTTCACACAATGCAGTCATAACTGAAATCCGACCAGATGGTGTTACCTGTCTAATGTGCTTATGAAATAAATCATAGCTGTGCACCATACAAGGGAGCACACTCGTACTTCGCGACAATAAAGGGCTTGCATGGAGGAAATTTTACACGAGCAAGCAATGTCAGTTCAAAGTATGTAGCCATCATCCATTGTATTACTACTATAGTGATACCCATATAAATGCAGTCACCATGTGGACATAAGGCCTCATTGTGGTCCATACACCAGTCATGATTCAACTGGAAGAGACTTAGCTCCTCCATACACAAACACTACATAGTGAACACATGTACACATGATTACGGTCTCTTGTTAAATGATAATGATGCAACTATGGCAGATAGCCTGCACTACCAGGATCGGCCAAAGGATCGCAGGTGTTCCAAAGTTACACTGGCAGACAGAAAACGTGGTACCTTGTTCTGGTAGTTGATGACAGCTCCAGCTGATATCAGTTTCTCCACAATCTCTGTGTGACCATTTGCAGCAGCTTCCTCCAGAGGAGATGAGAGAGGATCAACCTTTCATGGAGAAATGGATAGAAAACAGTTGAAGAGCAGAAGATACAGAGAGTGAACAATAACTACCACTCTTATTCACTGCACTTGATATTTCATGTGGATATGAGTTATGTACTATGGTTGATAGTATTGAAATATTCCAATCTTTTATTCTACCACCATCAAGATGTTAATGAAGACCTAGAATAAAATATAGAAAACCAACTTCTGTCGGAGTCGAACCCAGGCCTAGTGACCAGCAACCCAGTTACTATGCACTGAGATAAAACACCTACACATAATTGCTTTATTCTATCATAAAGGGCCAACACTAGAGCAGACCACAGAATGTCATCAAATGAACAACTTGCTGCCATGTATGCCCACTTGTTATAATGAAATGCACCAAAGTGCAAACCCTCGGCGAACTGCGCATGCGAGATACGGCTAATTGATGCGCTGGGTTATGCGTTTACTCACTGTCTCCCGCTAGTAGTTCGCGGAGAGTCTGACACGGGCTAGCTACAGTCATAGATAGCATGTGGAAGGCCGTTTGTTGTCACTTCTTTTTGTCTCCGAGGTACACAGAGAAAGCAGACCCGGTCGAGGTATGCCTGTGCTTATTTGCATGATGGTTTTTTTTTACTTGGTTTTCACGCCATAACTCTCGAGCGCAGTACTCTTACGAAATTCACCAAATTTAAAATCAAGCCAGTGTAGTGCTGTACCACTCTTTTGTTGTTGTCTTGTTGGGTGTGGTGGCAGAGACAGAGAAACAGACAGACAGACACACAAACTAACAAACAAAGTACAGCAACCCTCGCTGCGCACGCACGCCGAGGGTTAAAGAGGGAAGAACACCAATCAGGGGTTCTGACTATATACAGTGAGTATGTCCAACTTAATATCATACCGTTTAATTATAATATCCCGTTCATTACCTTATTGTATTTTGCGTGGGCGAATCAAAGGCGCCGCCAGTACTATATTCATCATACAGAACAGTTTTTTAATGGAACTGTACTATGATCACACGAACTGTACTATATCCGCGGACTAGCGTACGCTTTTCGGGAATGACGCCCTCGGCGGCCTTTTCGTAGAGGGAGTTCGACTCAGACGGTACACAAACAGCTGCTGGAAGGGCGCTCCGCGAGCTTCTAGTCCTCTCTTTCGTTCTGAACTTGCCGCCGCCTTTTGAACTATATCCGTGGACTAGCATACGCTTTGCGGGAATGACGCCATCGGCGGCCTTTTCGTAGACGGAGTTTGACTTAGACGGTGACACAAACTGCTGCTGGAAGGGCGCTCCGCGCGCTCTCTTCCGTTCTGAACGCTGGTTTTCCGGAATCGCCCACGCATACAATAAATAACTTAATGTACGGAAGCACGTGCTGTGCGCGTGATAATGGGTACTCGGAACGTGGTCTCGATAGATCATACAGCAACTCGGCTGCGCCTCATGCTGTATGACTATCTCGACCACGCCCCTCGTACCATTATTACGCGCACAGCACTGACTTCCGTACATTAACTATTACATACAAACCTGAAATCCAAAACCATTTCCCATGCATATTACTCCGTTTTATAGAATAAGGTCGTCGAGTTTAAATATAGAATATGGATAATGTCATATGCCGCCTATTCCCACAGAAAAATTAAGCAATTTTGGTTTTGGCCCTCAGTAATGTCATATTGTGCATGCATAATTATGCATTCTTCAACCTTGAGCTGGAGTTTTGTAACCCTCTCCATTCCTTCCACCTGGCTTCCATTAGCTTATGTAAACAGCTAGGCCCAGGATTTGCACTACAATGCTTGTCATTAGTCAAGGTTTTACTGTTTAGATGAGTAATAATGGACTAAGAGAGAGACAAAAATAAGAAGAAAAAATAGTACATAACAATCTCATTATTTCATTACTTCAAACACACTTACTGTGATGGTGAGATTCACATTGGCTCCTTTCTCCAACAAAATGTCAACAATTAGCTTGTGTCCACCTTCACAGGCACCATAGAGTGGAGTAAAACCATCCTGGACAGGAGGGAAATAAGAATGACAGCATGGCAGCTAGCAGAGGTATAGCTGGCCATGACTATGCAGACTGAAGTATACTGCTAAAATGAGGTATCTCAAAGTCATGGATGAAACAATAGCAGAAGCACCTAAGAGCTTCAATTCAGTGATAATCCAGTGGGCCAGAATAAACTCTCGTGTGTATGGAGTGAAAAATGTGACAACAGCTGATATTCCTTGAGCTAAACCAGACAACCTGCAGCAACCATTCAAAAGGGCTACTCGTTTAACAAGCTACTGCCATTTTGTTGCCACTGTTAACACTTACAGAAGCAAACGATTTTGGTTTTTCCTCACACATTGTCATAATTATTGAGCATGCATGGGTAATTCCACAATCTTGGGTTGGAGTTTTGTAACCCTCTCCATTCTTCCACATGGCTTCCATTAGCTTATGTAAACTGATAGGCTGAATTAGCTTAGCTAAACGAACTACACTGTGGGCTACCTGGGTTAGTCTAATATATGTACACAGCATACATTGGGCCCTACCAGCATTGTAGAATATCCCGCATATTATCATATTTTTTGGAATGCACTGTGGGTATTATATTATCTGGGAGCCACTGTAACACTTACAGAAGCTGCTGAAATTGGCTATAATCCCTTTTATTAGACAAGGTTTTACTGTATGAGTAATAATGGCCCAAGAGAGTGACAAAAATAAGATAATAAAAATTAGCACAAGTACATCACAAATCTCATTTACACTTACTGTCATAGTGAGATTAACATTGGCTCCATTCTTCAACAGAATGTCAACTATTAGCTTGTGTCCATCTTCACAGGCAACATAGAGTGGAGTAAAACCATCCTGGACAGGAGGGAAATAAGAATGACAGCATGTGTAGCCTAAGCAGAGGTTATAGCTGGCCATGACCATGCAGACTGAAGTATACTGCTAAAATGAGGTATCTCAAAGTCATGGACGAAAAAATAGTGGAAGCACCTAAGAGCTTCGATTTCAGTGATAATCCAGTGGGGCAGAATAAACTCTCGTGTGTATCAAGTGAAAAATGTGGCAGCAGCTGATATTCCTTGAGCTAAACCAGTCAACCTGCAGCAACCATTCAAAAGGGCTACTCGTTTAACAAGCTACTGCCATTTTTTGCAACAAATGGGTAAAGCAATCTCAGGAAAGCGCTGTCCCTGAACTGTGACTGCAGTGTATGGAGTTTATGTTTGTACTAAAGGCTAGAGTGTAGAACAGCCATTATGACGGCTAAACTTTTTCGCCAAACTGTCTGTGAGGAATTGCACGCCCTCATCTCATTGAGTAGAGTACTGTACTGATACAGGATCCGCATCTATCACTTGCATGACAGGGCATACATGAAGTTGGTGCTGACATAGCTCATTTCTTATGCATGAAGGATCGATTCTTGGAGAATAATCATGTTTTTGCACTAACAGCCTGCCCAAAGATTCCTACCTATAAGAGTATACATATGTAGCTTCATAATCTACAGAGGTATACAGGTTTATACCACGGTCGTGCATATTTCAAGGGCCGCCTCACTGTCTATATTTGCATATTCGCGCTGTTACGCCATATTCCATGGGATATCCTGTGAAATAACAAGGATGACCTGTGAAATGTGCAGGAAGTGATATCCGAAGCACGTTGAGCACTGTCCGATGAGCTGCTCGGAGTACAGAAGGTTAGCTTCATTCTTTCTAACAAGAAGTGGCGAATTTAGCATGAACGAAGCATCTGCGGGTAGATTACATGGTTAAACCACTCGTTTCCAGGCTTGCTTTCTGCCTATAATTTTTCTGGAGCGCTAAAGGAGGCACAGACTGTCCCAAATTAGCGTTCTTTAGGCAGTGTGTTTACTCACTGCTTGACTCGGCAGAGGACAACGACTGACCGCAGTAGTTTTTTGGCGGTTCATAACCATCTCATCTGCGTACTTTTCGCTAAGGACGCCTTCAATGGTGCAATCGTCAAAGAGAACGTGCGTTCGTGCCCAAATATGGTCCGAAAATGATGGCGAAACCCGTTCCCATGGTATAAATTAATTATACCACACCTACTGCGGGTGTTTCCGCAAAACCCTCAGGAATGTGTGATAATCCCTCAGGCTGCACCCTCGGTATTTTCAACATATTCCTTCGGTATTTGTTATAACACCCTAGTAGACGTGGTATAACTACTACATATACCTCGTATATTGTTGCTGACATGTATGACAGGACATACATGAATTTGAAAGCAATGTGTACACTCTCATCAATATCTAAGCATAAGGATTCTAAAATATGACCTTTTGCACTCCTCTGCCGAAATGGCCAGACATTTACTTGGCCCAAAAATGCCTACCTATTATGGTACTGATAAGAGCACACATGTCGCTTCTCTGTGGATATCCTCTGCCTAATGAATATCTCAGGTCTTGTCACTTGTCATGTGATAACCCGACACCTTATATATTTGGGTTCATGTTTGTCACATGTTGGACTAAGTTTAGCATAGTCCCCACAAGAAAAGACACACTCTACTGTTCTACTACAGAGTACCATAAAAGGTAGCAATGTATATACCTTATCTGGTAGGTTTAGGTCAGCATTTGCCTCTATCAGAAGACGGACGATATGAATGTGACCCTTCCATGCAGCATATAAAACGGAAGTTCTTCCGTCCTAAGTGAAAATTATAATAAATAATGTCATTGCAAGCACATACAATAAAACACATAGCATAGCATGAAGGATTTAAGCCATGACCCAAACACAAGCTGAACTAGAACATGAAGCGAAAGTGTCATGCCTATCAGACCAGCCTCGAGTACCTTTATGAGTGTACAGCACGTCCTTTTCGTGCTCCAATTGTACTGTGGGCGACTCAAAGGCAACAACCAGGAACGAAGCCGGTTCGAGGCGGAGGTGGTTCTCTCTCGCTGCAACTCAATGCTGCTCTGATGCGGCGAGAACGCGCAAAGGCCAAGATAATATAACTGTTACGACTCCTAGGGTTAAGAAAGCTGCTGTTTACTAGGCCGATTCCGTTCCTCGCATCACCCTGGGTGGCTATCGCGTGGTACCACATGACGGGGCCGCTGATAGCCTAACCTGGCGGTGCCTTTGATCCACCCACCCAAAAGTACAATAAAAAGCAAGAAAAGAGAGACACACACCTCATCTTGAGAAGTAACGTCGTGTGCACAGTCAGCTCTCTCTTACACAGCATCATATCCCAGGTCTTTCGGCAGATCTCACAAAGCAAGCCGTCCTTCCTATGAGCCGTGATACCACAACTAGTATGAAATTAATAACAAATATTAAACTCACTCACCAAAACCCCAATTTTCAGATGTGAAGCAACAACCAGATTCTGTTCCGTATGAGAACAGTTCAATCTGGTCCTCATCAGCCACTACTAACCAACGTAGGCTGGCGTAGTGGACCCAGACAGGTAGCGACCAGGGAACACTCGGACGCTAAGGGCTACAACTGGGTTGTCGCTGTCCATAGGATACAGTTCAATACTTCAGTCATTGTTGCCTACAATTGCAATACGAACCTCGAACATGTCTCCCTCGAAACACTTGCAGCAGCATTCCTGACAGAGAGACTGCGGTGCTTTGTCAGAACAGGAATCTTGAACTCACTGCAGGAGAACCAACATGTAACTCAACACTGTTGCGATGAACGTGTCGTATAGTATACATCTTCCATGAGGGTTTTGGTGTTCAGTTTTTGCGTACTATTGCGTGTATTGTGCTCTACGAGACAACCAACAGGAGCACAAACCCGTCCATCGTGAGTACGACAGAGTTATCTCCAAACACCACGGACCTCTCTCTAATCATTGGCAGCACTTACAGGTGAGATCTACCATGTGGAAGTGTTGGGCAGTTGAGTTGGATGACGACACATCACTAGCAGGTCAAGTGCTACACTCGATGAGCCGATCTCTCTGTTTTATGCCTGAAAATGCAGTACTACCTCATTGATTCTTCATCGTTGAAACTTCTCTCTCAGGAAGGCTTCAAGAAGGCCCTTCTCATGCAGTGGGAGAGACATTGATCGTATTGAGGTTTGATTATAACCACAACTCGGAGGGGTTCAGTTTCATATAACCCATTATATTGTATATTAATAAATATTTAATTGAGTTATATATATTATCCCTCACCCCCCGTTATTACTTCTTATATTATACTAAAAATACCTTATATATACTGTACGCAGATAAGGGAATATTTGTGATATAATAGCTAATCTAAAAACTAACATGATGCGAATGGCCCGACTTTATTGTGAAGGAATTTTTGAGACAACGGTTGAATGACTGTTGCTCGGACTCCACACTGCGAGCTCTATTCCTGGCACTGACTCAGTGAAATGCTTGGTCGTGTCTCAGACACGTTCTGCAGGACTACTCCTGTGACAGCCACGAGTGGGGCCTTCACTCTCAATGACTGCCATACACCCGAGCCTTGGGTGCGCCGCGCATCACAGCAAAAGTCGCGTCGCAGTCTTCCAGAGAGAGAGAAGTTGTCCACAGCAAAGACGATGCTGTCAGCACTGCAACGCTGGACATGTTGGCTTTATACTGTGGAGTGTGTCGGATCAGTTCAATCAGGTCTCTGTTGACGGCCTCTATTCTCTGAGGGGACACCTGGTCCTTGTGAGTGCCAATGAAGAAAACACACGAACGATTCTGGAACTCTCCATCTCCAGACACGCCCTGTGATCTTTCTTGGAGCCCCGTACACCAGAACTGTGAACTGGCACACTTATCAGAGACTGACACAGCATCTCACCTACAGTATGTGGTGATTCGTATGTGATCGGGTCAGCATCAACAGATGGGAGGTACTCCAGAGGCTGAATGGAGTGAAGGTCGTGCACCAGATTGAAGATGATGTAGACTGTGTTGCTCTCTGCAATCAGTAGAGCCAACAGCTCCTGGTACTCGGGCTGGCCTCCTGTGTCTCTGCACAGTACATACGAGGCACTGTCTATCTTCCTGCTGAGTTGTGTTTGTTTCATACTGATTAATGCTTTATTCATTACATTGGAGGCTGAGGGTAATTGCCCCTCTACGTTGCCAGACTCTCAATGTGTGTGGAAGCTGGCACATTTTCGCCTTCCTCAAGAGGCTCATCCGTATGTTTCTGATGCGGCTGATCTTGCTCTCTCTGTTGCGTAGGTTGCTGTCCTTCTGTGTTTGGCAAGACTGGGTCAGTGCCTGTGGTAATAGACTGCTCTACAGCTTCATTTTTCGCTTGAGCTTGTTGTGCTTCCAGCTGCCCTTCTGGTTTGGGTGAAGCTGGTTTTACATTACTGGTTGATTTCTTATTCTGCTGTTCAGGTACTGCGGTGCTAGAGAAATTTTGAGGTGATTCTTGTATGAAGAGATGTCCGTGCTGAGTTACCAATGCAACAAATCCCTCCATTTCCTCCTCGGCTTGAATCCTCCTCCAGGCAAGTTCTGAGACGTGCAGAACAAAGCCACAGCTTCCCCTAATGTCCAGTCTAACACTTCCTTCAGAACTGGTGATGTCAGTACTTGGAAGAAGTCTCTCTGGAATAATGCCCTGCAAGCGTTTCCAAAACGAGCTCTTCCCAGAACGAGGGATTCCAGTGAATACAATCTGCATCATGTTTAGTTCTGCCTCTCGCTCAGAACCTAATGTGACAAAGATGAGCCTTGTCAGTAGCTATGCAATTAAACCTCTGCGCGCATGCACAGCGAGGGTTACGGTAGTTGCCGTCTGGTCTGTCCGAGAGCTATCTCACTTCACGAGCAATCAATCGCGCCACAAACGATATCACGTACTCAACGTCGGATAAAGGTCAAAAAATATGTGGGGTTTTCTCTGAAACTGCTGCGTTTGGGAGTTACGGCGTGACGCGAGCGCTCTCATTTCTCTGGCCTGCCGGCTTATCGCCCTAGACAAGAACCCTAGTGTCCGACCAATAGGCATTGGTGATACTGACTGCGTGGAGGATCTTAGCAAAGGCGGTGCTGTCAGTAACCAAACCCAACATCCAGGAAGCTTCCAGATGTGTGGGGGATAGATTTCTGGCATCGAAGTTGCAGTGCACGCTGTCAGAACCGCCTTTGACTCCAGTGACACCGAAGCAGTACTCCTGGTTGAAGCCGCCAACGCATTCAATTTCTTGAACCGTCAAGTTGCTCTCCAAAACATCAGAAGGCTCTGTCCACCACTCGCAACTATACTAATCAACACATACTGAGCTCCTACAGAACTGTTTGTAGACGGTGACACTCTACTCTCCCAAGAGGGTACGACGCAACGGGACCGACTAGCCATGCCCATGTATGTTATCGCCACCATCCCTCTTATCAACAAACTTAAGGGCAATTCCGAGCAGATCTGGTATGCGGATGACGCAGCCGCCGTCGACAAACTAGCAGAACTGCGGGTGTGGTGGGACCTATTCACCAGAGAAGGACCAGACTTCGGCTACTATCCCAATCCATCCAAGACGTGGCTAGTCACCTGTCACACTGCTGGGCTTTCAACCTTTGCTGGCACAGGGGTCAATGTTACCTCAGATGGCAGACCGTACCTAGGTGCTGCAGTTGGCTCAGCCA